CGTGCAACGGAATTATGCAGCTCGATGCATAATTCCGTCGATGCTTTCGCGACTGTCGCGCTTTGACCGATTCGTTCGTTCCTGATCTGCACGCCGAGCAGCTTGCCGCGCTTCTGTCTCGAACGCTTGGGAATTTTCGGTAAAGTTCCGGCGTCGTCTTAGTCTTAGAACCAGATACGGTCGACGAGTTCGACGAGTAGCAAAAACTTCCCTCCGATGTCAGGCGAGATTAAAAGGTCGACGTTGAATTTCCCTCGGACCACCGTCATCGAATCGAGCGTCAAATTCGACAAAGGTGGCAAGAGGGTAACGAGGAAAGGGTAGATTTTGGGGGGTGGTGGTTATGGTAGTGGTCTGGTAACAATAGGTCGCAGTGGTGGTGGTCGCCACAATGCTGGCTTGCCTGACTTCTTTGCGTGTCAAATGACTGAAAAGCCGTGGGGAGTGCACGGGTGGAGGTTGTGGGTGGACCAAGTGGATGGGGGTTGCAGGGCGGGTACACGGTGGTATGAAAGGCGTGCTTTGTTTGGAAACAATGCCGATACTCGGCTACATCCTCATCTCCATTCTTCGCCTTGACGCAGCACCGCTCCGAAAAGGGTTGCCTTTATTCATCCCTGATTAAAGTTATAGGTTATTTTCGCTCTGTTTCACGGCGAAATACTTTCCAAGATTTTCACCGCCTCTGTCACTGGACTCCGATTCGAACGAGATGTTCCGTCGTTACTTGTCTAATTATTATCTCGAAAACAGGAAGAACGCGAGGCGAAACAACGACGATGGAACATTTAAATTTCCTCGCGTATTCTTCGAATCGATGTTCGCGCGAAACATTGAAATTCAAATTGGAATCGGACGAAAAAGACTGTCCGTTCTATCGACAATTATCGAGCATAACCCCCTAAATAATTGGAGCTTAATGGTCGCGCAACAAACGCATCTAATTCGCAAGAATGGAGTCGTCGTTGCACGTCGGACTTGGTCTGCCGGAAACTCGCCCCAACCCCGGCGTTTTCTGGTTTCAAAGGCGAGTAAGCCTGGCCCGTGTTGGCCGGGAGAGGAGACGTCGTCGAAGGAAAGCTCATAACAAACTATTGAAAAGCCAACGAATGAAAAATCAATGGCGGGTGGGCACGGGCCAGACCAGTCCAGGGTCGGGGTATATACGCGGGAGGGAAAGCTACAGGGTGGAAGTTGGGGGTGGTTTGGTGAATGGAATATTATTGGGGCATCCTTTCACGCGGACTCGACGGAAGCTAGAAGACCTCATCTGGCGAGCTGTATGGATGCCGTTCGCCCCGGCAATGCCGCCTATTGAATCGTTGCTTATATACGTACGTATTTACACGCGTTCGTAAATACACACACGCGCGCGCATACGTACGCGACAACGCGTCTACGTACAGAAAGCTCGTTGCACACGTTCGTCGTTGCGTTACTCTAACACCTCCCGTTCTTTCCGCGTTCGCCTCGGTTACGTACACGTGTACGAATATCTATAAATGCATGTAGCGAGGGTGTCGGTGTGGGTGTAGGTTCTTACATTTCATGATTTATCACGCAGCTTTCAACGGGCCTCAAAGCGTCCTGAAAGCGCGCAGATTGATAAAAGAAATAATAGAGGACGCGAAATAGAGGGACTCGATCTGATACGAGGAAAGGGTGTGAGGGTGGTTCGCTCGGGGTGAGATAGAGAGGAAGGGAAGAGAGAAAGACGGAGAGACAGAGATTCCAAGGGTAGAACGATGAAACGACGACAAGAAGAGGGGGATGTCGAACGTCGTTTCTGTGCAATAGGGGTGGTGGATCCTTTCGATATGCTTCGGCCCGCTTCCCTCCACCCTTTTTCCTACTCGATTGCGTGTCTTTATACTCAACTGGCACGCGGGCTTCCCTGTTCGCTGCCGCGTCTCGTGGCACGTGCGCCTGGATATTCTTCCGGGGTAAACAATATTCGTTTCGTTTCTCGTCTTATCCTTCTTTCCCGCCGTGATTGCCATTTGTCTCCGATCTAAAACACGATACGCGTCTTCGTCGTTTCGTTAACGATTCTCCGAAGCGTCGAATCGGACTCGCGCTCGTCGAAGACTAATCGTTTCGAAATAAGACGTTTGCCTTAAGACACGCGCGCGACGTACGAAGACGAGACGAAAGGGATAGCGCGGGTGGTATGGGGTAGAAAGCACGGGGATTGGAAAGCCGGAAAGTTGCAAATGGGATGAAAGGGGACGGCAGTTGGAACGAGAGATAGAGAGGAAAGAGGGGAAAGACAAAAGGGGTGGTAGAGAACTGTGAATCCCGTGGCAGCATTGTCACTCCATTCGCCGGGGTTGCAAAGCCGGGGCGGTTCCGACGCCACCACTACCACCGCTTCTACCACCACCATCGCCACCACCACCGCGTTCGTTTCAACCCCGCGAGCTAACCTTGTTTTACTGCCGTCTTCCGGATTGTCTACCGAATCGACCGAACCAGTTAATTACTCGTTAATATACTGCCAGGCGATATTATCGTTATTTTTGGATCGACTAACTCTACCGGACTCGTCATCGGAGTCGCGTATCGGTTCTATGATATATCCCTTATCCAGGCTAATGACGGGAAAAAATTAACGGTAGAAGCAATCGTGCTTTATACGCCGCGCTTCATTGGGTAGATCATTGATCAGCTCATTGATCGATCCACAAAGTTTTCGTTCACCTGTAGATCTTCGAAAAAGATACGGAGCATTGGGATAAATATTTAAGCCGTCGTAAAGAATGGTGCCGGCAAGGGGTGACTTTACGATTCTCGCATTATACAGTCATCGGACCTTCATTGGGGTTGTTAAAGCGCACCCTTGGAGGGTCCGTTTCGAACGCACGATTTATCATTATCTCGATAACTCGGCAAAGATAAGGCGGTCGACGCCGCGAGTACGCTCGCGACGGGGTGGTTGTATGATTTACTATTTCCTCGACGCATCTGTTCGCTTAATTAACGTTTCTCCGATGCCATTTCAAAGATACGTATCAACGGTCGCAGCCGTACCGCTGAAAGGCGCGGCGCGGAAATGTCAGCAGTCGATGTAATTGTGTTTCGTGACGTGCTTTATTGCCGCGCGATAAAATTCACCGAGCGGGATTTCTTTCTTTCCTCGAAGCTTTTTTTCCCCGTTTCGCTTGATCCATCAGTCTCGTCAAACGCCTCGATTTTACGAACGCAATCGTAATCGATAAATTTATCGGGGGATGACACACTCTCCACGATTCCTGGCACGGCGCGTGGCCGTGCGTAAAGTGCAAACTTGTCGAAATAATGAACGGCTGACCGCATTTTTCGATGGCTCGTGCACGTGGTTTAGGGTGATTACGCGCGGGCTAGCATATTGCACGGATCGTAAGGGCGGATCTGGGAAGCGTGTACGGAGGCGTGGTGTCGATTCGATGGTGCGTGCATTCTGTTTCTCTCCCTCTTCTCTCGGCGGCACGACGTTCCCGATAATTCATTTCTCTCGAATCTAAAAAGCCTTTTCCTCGATTCACGAGTCCTCGGTTCCCTAGCGTCTCGAATCCGATGCGAGCAAGTGGCCGGGATAATCCATTGGAAACAGAAGCTCGGCACAAACGGACGACACAATGGAACAGCGTCTCGACGTCGTAGCATTTTCGGGTATCTCTCCGCGAGAACGGACCTCTCATTGTGACCACGGAGCGGCGCAGTCAGCTATTATGTTTATTAAGTTGGCGGGGTTGGGTTGATTCCGTGAGAGGAAAGGCGTGCTGTAGGAGTACGGCGGAGAAGGAGGACGAACCAGAAGGTGGCTGGCGAGGGTCGAACGGTTTAGTGGCAGGGGTGTATTGT